ATGTCAACTGTCAAATTTGACACATTTTTCGATGATCTCACCACGTGGCATGCATTGTCTCTCTTTGGATCTAGATGTGTATAAGAGACAGGGCCAAGACCTAGTGTTTTTGCAGTATTTCGACACGCAAATGTTTGACGTCACCATTTCAACCATCAATGAACGCATGGAACTAAAACAAAGCTTAATATAAAGGAAAAGCTGGAGAGGTGACGGAATTACCTACGATGTCGGAATATACCGCCAACCGCGTTTACCCTATGTAGCATAATTTTATGGTTGACAATGAGGAATCTGAGAAAAAAATCCATTGCATATGTTTTAATTCTTAAAATGTGCAAAATTTTACTTAAAAATTTTACTTAAATTAAAAAAATTTGAATTAAATTTTAATGTGTGAAATTTTACTCCCTTAAATAGCTTTCACAGTGTGCATCAAGTTGAACTCTTTGTTTTCTGTGTTTGACTGAGAGACAAATTTCCAACATGCCTATTTTTCAGTCTAATTGAAATCCTAATGTGTTACAACGTAGCCTACAACCTTCATTCCTTCAACTTCAAGCCTACAAGTTTAATCCCTCCTAGCCTGAGTCCTAGGTATTTTTATCCCTTCCATCTTAACTAAAATTTTTGGACTGATTGAGTGGTGGAGGTGGATAAAGAATAATATATGAATCACAATTTTTAGAATTCCATCCTAAATTTAATCAGAAACCATTAGGTACCCCTAAACCCCTTATATAGCATATAGGCTAGGTCATAGTGGCAAAGCAGAGAGTTTTTTAGACTCTCCCTCAAGTTCATTTTTGAGTCCTTTAAGTAGACTAGTAAAGTATCCTGTATACCAGCATTATTATACTTAAGAAATTGATTTAAATCTTGAGTAAATGAGGAAATTAAAAATGAACTGATTCTAAAAAAGCTCTGGTTTGCCACTATGGGCTAGGTAGTTATCAGGTACAATTATTTTGTTCTTCAAAAGCGCTGCTGCAGAGCCTGCAGTGCTTTTGAAGAACAAAATAATGGAACAAAAATTTGAAGAACAAAAATTGGTGTGTACTGTGCAGTGCCACTGTACACCAATTTTGATTATAGGCTAGTTAAATCGATACGGGATTTCACCATTTAGGCTGATGATTCCAAAACCAAATCAATATGGTCCCTCCGTACAATAACTACGCTCATAAAATAATTTAAAATAGGATTAAACCGCCTAACACGAAATAGGATAAAGTTATACTAATTTAATTTCTATGAATCAAATACAATTTCACAATTGAATAAACATTGTAAGAGAACTTACACTTTTCAGAGTAAACAAATACGGCCCACTGGGCAGTGAAACGGTGTTGCCAACTCTTTACCGTAGCGGAAGAGATTAGAATTTGTCTAGATCATAAACATAATTTTTACTGAACAGATGTGTAAGTAACTAAAATAGCTAGTTTCCAGAATAGCAGGAGCATGATTAATGTTTATTTGCGCAGCCACAATTTTATGCTGATAATGTTTTTAATGATGTCGAGAATGTAATAATCAGGCTTGTAAAATTAGAACTTTTTTTTTATTTCGCGGTCAACTTAGACATATATAAAACTTGAACAAAATTAGACAACATACACGTGCTATGCTATGTGTACAAGGAATTTAAAAGCAAAGAAAACGCCAAGAAAATTCACCATATCAATTTTTTTTTATTCTCAAACTTCTTCTTCTATCTGCTTTCTGAGGACTTGGTTCTTCACCACTCGCCTCACGTCTGGACAGGCAGCAAGGGTTTGGCGGCACAAACCTGAGGGCAAAGGCCTCGGTAAGTTCGCAAATCTGAGATGTTGTTCTGTTAGTTCATTCAACTACTAGGCCCCGGAATTAGTGCTACATGCATGTTAGTAGCCCTTACCACACTTACAGGTATTTTTTCATGTTTCAGTTTGCTTACAGTTATTTTTATGTTTCGCCTTCCCTAGATGGATGTCTACTTGAATCTATATATAAAAAATCAGTCTTTTATTTGTATATATATGTGGATACTTTTTGAGATTGGTAGATTGAAGTAGACATCCATGTAGGGAAGGTAAAACATAAAAATAAGTATATAACTAACTTCTATTTACTGTGTCTAACCACAGTAACCAGCACTAGTTTGGTTAGGTTAATTGCAATAAAGTTGAATTGATATGTTTTGAAAAAGTTTTATTCTCATTTAATGTTTATGAGTAAATCCCAATAGCAGAACAATAAATAATAAGAGATTTCTAAAAATTTTGGCCATTGTAGCGGCTAATGTAGCGCGCTACATTCTACTGTAGCGGTAGCGGTAGCGCCCGTTACAATCTAGTGGATGTAGCGGTAGCGGTAGCGCCCGCTACATTTAGAGCATGTAGCGGTAGCGGTAGCGCCCGCTACATTTAGAGCATGTAGCGGTAGCGGTAGCGCCCGCTACATTTAGAGCATGTAGCGGTAGCGGTAGCGGCGCTACATTTCAAAGTAGCGCTGCCCAGCTCTGCCCTTACCTAACTGGAGGGTCTACCCAGACAGAGGGCCAGGGCCAGATGGTCCAGCCTGGGATGGCGCAGCCTGGAGCATCATCTTTATTGGGTACAGGGGAAATAAGTATTTTGTTCAAGACCTGCTGATGCTAATCTTCTAATCTACTTGACTGCTACCATCAGGGTCAAAACTCAACAGTTGAACCTCCTGTCTGGGGGATTTTGTACACATCTTGGAAAGGTCCTGTACAGGAGTCACATTTACAATTAGTCATGCGATGGGGAGGATCCTGCCAAGACTGTCATGCTTCAAAAGCATCAAAAGGATGGTTGATGACCATTAAATTAGTGATTAGCTGGAACAATATTCTCAAACTGATGATGGAGCTAGCTGGACTCCGATATGTTGAGTCGATACGACGCCGCAGGAATTATTACAGATTTTTACATGAATTATTTTTTTAATTAAAACCAAAAAATGTATTTTTTAAGCAACTGGGACACTCATAATTCCTTCATTACTTAACGGATCTGTATGAATTTTGGAATGTGAGTATTAATTATTGATACGCTGCCGCAGGAATTATTACAGATTTTTACATGAATTATTTTCAAATTAAAACCAATAAACGTATTTTCTAAGCAACTGGGACACTCATAGTTCCTTCAGTGCTTAACGGATCTGCTCGAATTTTGGAATGTGAGTATTAATTATCGATATACTGCCGCAGGAATTATTACAGATTTTTACATGAATTATTATTAGGTTAATTTGGGTTAGGTTAGATTAGGTTAGGTTAGGTTAGGTTAAGTTAGGTTAGGTTAGGAGATAATTCATGTAAAAATCTGTANTGTGTTGTGCAAAGCGGATTTACTGTTAGCCGGAGTTACCCACAGCTCATTGATCTGAGGCTATGTGTGGATATTGCATGCTGATGTTTGGCGTTGGGCCCAGGGCCTGTTTACGAGTCAATTTTGTTACCCACGGCTGCGCTCCCAGAGCCGCCCATAAATGGTGCTTACATCAAATTTGTCCTTCGCTGAGCAACCAACGATAATAGAGTGCAATACTCCTAATACTTCAACATTCATCTTCATAGTTTTAATTAATTTTCAACAGAAAATAAAAAGCTCATCATTGCATAATTTTTCCGTCATATCGAATTCAACTATTAAATACAATGCGTGAATTGTTGAAAGATCTACATTTCAGTCCCAAATGATATCAAAGGTTAGTTTCCATTATTAATTTCTCGAACTTACAGTATAGCGAAAGTACATGTTTCAAGGAATACGATAAATGTTTTTATATTATTATAGTTCGATATGTTGCTGTATATTTTGCATGCATTAATTAACGTGTAACATGCCATAATATATAATTGCTATATTAAGCAATACGGATATCATCTCATTAATAGCGGGTTTTACTTATATCCAAAAATAAGCGATGACATGTTCAGGTAGCGTAATTGGGGGTTTGGTTATTGTGTTATCAATATTTAGCTTTATTTGCAAATTAGTATGAGTTAAATTTCAAAGAAATCCAATTCTGGGAAGTTTAAGGGTGAAAATTTAATAGTGCATCGAATGTAAGTCTGCAAGAAAATGCTTGATAAATATGCGTCTAATTATCTATATTCTCCTTAACAGTAATCGTTGCATCTTGGTCCGCGCCCGCGAGGCTCAATCTATTTGTCTAATTAATGTTTGGTTATTTATATCACTTAGTATAATGAGAAATTGTTGCATTGAAATAAAAATTCTTTTATACTATCGTGCAATCGCTTCCTAAATAATTCATATCAATATTACCTGGCTAACTTATCAAACGGCGTTCTCCGCTCAAATGAAATGTTCATTCACACAGTCACTCTCGTTGACTCGTATTGACATTGGTGACTGGTCTACCTATTCATGATTTCATGCCCATGGTTACATGGTATTAATATTACGTATGTTAACTGTTGATTATGTGGCTTTTAAAAATAACATGAGTTCAGATTGCAGATAACTCATTCAGTAATGCACTAGCCACTAATGCTCCTTCACTTCAGTCCTTCTCACTCTCATCAAGTCTCATGAGTCTCACTTGGTGTCTTGGTCTTGGTGCAGAAATCTAATGGTGTTTTCAAAATATGACAAACTGCTTCCATTATTAATTGTTGAAGGAAGTTTATTGCTTAAAAAGAAGAATTTTAATTTTATTTGTGAGGCACTGAAATAAGTCATTAGGTTTTTTCCTGCTTGCTGAGCTAGGTACACAAGGATTTCCAATTCCAAAAATTCAAGATTCCAGAAGTTGACCAATCTCTATCTTTAATGTTTAATCTGTTAGCCTGTAGGAGTTGTAGCCCGGCCCCATGGTCAGGAAGATGTGCCAGGTGCGCGGGAATTTATTTTGTCATTTTAACGACCTGAGCGGTGCGCCGTACTAGGTTGGTAAAAAAATTCGCCGTGCGCCGTACTTTAGAAAGCTAAAATAGTTCTACTATTTTAGTTGACAATATACGCAAGTATATTGACTACGCGAGTCGAACTGACAATAATAAAATGTAAGACATGTCCGGGTTACTTCTGACTCTTCTGGTTCGTAAACTGCGTCTGTTAATTGTAAGCTGCGGCTGTTATACATACAAAATGTAAACAGACGGTGTTCAGTGTTGCCATATGACTTTGGAGAAAATTTCTTCTAAAATAAAGATGGCCGGGATTGTGCGAACACGTGTGCTAGTCTGGAAAAGTCCTATTTTTGTCTGAAATATCGCGGCTCTAATATCATATAATTTCAGTAGGTATGAAATCTCGCGGCTCAAATGTCATAAATTTTTGTTTGATTAAAAAATCGCGGTTTGCACTTCGCAAACATGTCATTTCATAATTTAATTAGGCTTTTAAGTAAGAGATATTAAGCTTTTAATTAAGAAAATGTTAATTTTTGCACAAAGCTTGGAACAAGCTGTGTGTGTCTAATTCCAAGCTGTGTCGGAATTAGTTTTTATATGTCTAAAACCGTCTCTTGAATTAATCAACTATTAATTTATTTACCTACCACTTGAAATCAGCAAATACAAGTATACTTAAAGGATTCCTAACATACTGTATTCACAGACTTATTTAAAAGTGTCAAACCATAATATTCTTTCTACACAAACAGTTTATCACTATTTGGTAGAGCAAGGTCAACTATCAACTTTGACATGTTTTTCAATGTTCTCACTGGGTGACTTGCACTGTCTCTCTTTGGATCTCAACATTTTCCTGCCAGATGGCCCAGATTTAGTGTTTTGGCAATAGTATGGCGCGCAATAGTATGACTCACTATTTCAACCATCAATGAATGTGTGGAACTAAGACAAGGTTTAATATAGAGGGAAAAAGTTGAGAAGTGTCAGAATTACCCACAATGTCGGAATATACCGCGTTTAGGCCGTTTACCCTAGCAAGGTCTTGGTTGCTTTGAAGTTTGAACCATGGAATTAGGGATGAGATTGGAAAACTCCTCATTTTAGCTAAAACTTTGCATTGCAGCTTCTCAATTAAATGTGTGAAATATATCTGCCATCTGAGTCATGATTGAAATATTTTTTTTTTCTAGAATATTGTGGCATCTTTCCTATTGAATTAGGTATAAATCTTGTTGCCCAAAACTAAATAATAGTAATATGGAAGCTACCAGGATAGAAAGCTACTATTTTGACACAACATTGCAATGACTTTCATGCCTTGGCAGTTGGCATATTCTACATATTAATTCTTGTTCTGATTTTCATGTTCACACTATAGTAATTTTCAATTTATTTTTCATTGCAGGTATTGAGCCTTTTGAGGTGCTTTTTCAGTGTTTGGTTGCACAATTACTGTTCAAGACAATGCCCGAGTTGGTGATTCACACGAGTGTATCTAGGAACAAGATCACGCCAACTGTCTTGACATCTTTGAGCAAAACCTTGGCAGGGACAATTTGCAAACCAGAGCAGGTGAGGCAAACTTACTTATGTTTAATAATGTTCCAGCCCCTAACTCATAATTCCAAGTTATTTTGAAATTAAAAGCAGTGTACAATTTGAGCTGAGGAAAAAACTATCACAAAAGACAAATTTAAATTTATCAATATTTTAAATATTAGTATCTCATTTCTTATCAAATGTGTTTGAATAGAATATACATTTTTGAATAAATGTATATGTTTGTAAACAGTGGAACATCAACCTACAAAAATCATGTGTGAAAAATTTGAGTTTTAAATGATTCAACAAATTTTTATACAAACTTTGCTTTGAAGAAAAACTGATATCAAAGTAACGAACAAAAATTGCTACTTTATTTGCCATTTCTTGTTCCATAACTGCACTATAATGCTATTGCCAAACCAGCAAATGACATTGTCAACTTGATATTTCTACACAAGTTGTTTGTCACAGTTTTGCATAGTGATGGTTGTGCCAGATCAGCTTATGGCATTGTCTATTTGTTACTTCTGAAGTTCTGAACGAGTTGTTTGTTACAGTATTGCACGGTGAGAGTGGTGCCAGACCAGCTTATGGTGTTTGGTGGTAAGGCTGATGCCTGCGCACAGGCAACACTCATGAGCATTGGGCACCTGGGAGTTGAAGAAAATAAAGCTCATGCTGCTGTAATTTTTGAAGCTGTTGAAAAGCTTTTGGGGGTTCCTCAAGACAGGTGAGATCAATTCATTTGAATGCTATTTATATACATTTTTGTAAATTTAAACTTGATTGATACCTTTTACTACTTCCAGTAATCTTTTTTTTTTAGTTTCTTTTTTGTTTTATATTTTTTAATTCTTATGCTGCACTGTAACAGTATAAATTATTCTGACAATTTATAGGATTTAAATGTTTAATGTAACACTTGCGGCATTATTTCTGCTGTGCTTTAAGCTAAGTTTACATTAAATACAGCTTTTTGTTCATGAGCTGTCATCATTTAATATTTTAGCCATAAAAAATATAGTGTAATCTTTTTACTGCAATTTTTTGTACCATTGTATTATTGCATTGAGCTATGCAAAAATGGATATTTCACATGTGAAAAAATAAATACTCTCTAGGAAAAGCTGTAGAAAGTATCATGATCTATCATAGATTGAATTGATCTATCATAGGAGAACATAAGTTAAAGTTAGCAATATCATGGAAATTCAAGTAAAAATAATTTATTCTTAAAATTAGGACATTTTTGGTTGTGAACTATTGAAAAAAATATATATACCTATTTATATATAGCGTATGTATCTGCATGACAACTGCACAATTGCAAAATCATAAGATTTTGATATACTTATTTTAAATTGCTAAACTTTTTCCAAACTTTGTTCACTTGCACTCAAAGGAACACGAAAAGATTAAAGAAACTCCATCTTTAGTAATTAATAAAAATTAACTATGTTCTTGTGTTTAAACTGCTTGATATTTTGAGCTCCTGAAGACCTTGTTGATATGCAGTTTGAATAAGGTGGGTCTCTTATGACAAGCTCACTCTCTTCTTGCATGCAACTCATCCAGGTATTTTTTCTTGCCAATGACTCTGCTGATTCTGGCCTTGGTTTGCACATGCTCCTTTTTTACCCATGTCATTTAAAATATATGCCATTTAATCACACATATCCTTTGTTTCAGGATGTACTTGACATTTGTGGACAAAGCTTCCTCTGACGTGGGGTACAAAGGCACTACCTTCCACACCATCATGGGCAAGTAAAGCAGCTCCCTATGCCCCCCAGCCGGGCCCTGATCAATGTTGGTTCTTGGGCTTGTCCCAACTACTCTCTACCGTCACGGCCTAATTTCATAATATTAAACTTTGACAAAACACAACACGTTGTCTTATTTACTTCTACCCACAAACTTTGCCGTCAATAACTGGATCTATTTAGTATTCATGAGGATATACATAACATACTAGGAAAACTTGAATTAATAGTGCCATTTCGCAAGACAGTCTTTAAAAGTGAGTGTAATTCTCTATTTGATGCGGCTTTCCTAAGTAATCGCCTATTGCAACTCCCTCAGACATTTTTGGGCTGGCGTTAATGAATGGATTACAAAATAGGAAAAAAGCCGCCACAATATAGGTGTAGGTTTTTCCACTACAATTTTCGATATCTATATATGTGGGTAAATTGACACAAATATTTTCACATGAACGTATCATCGAACTCTGTTTTCATATCGGTTTGAAGGCATTTAACTCGACATCTCGCGCACTCTTTTTCAAATGAATAGACTGAGGCCGAGATTTGAGCGACAGCTTCATAAGCAGTTGGCGCGTCAGTCTTACCACAGCTTCTGTTGTACGAGGTTAAGCCGCTCTTGCCGAGAACGCGCGTAGACGCGTTACCCTCACGATTATGCGCTTGGGCCGAGTGTCTCTGTTCTTCTCTTTAAAGTCGACTTCTGAAGCTTTCTAACGTATATCAGTGTTATTTTAATAGTAAGTATGACATATTAAAGAGACGTTTTAATAGCATGAATGATGCCTTCAAGTTCCAATTGGGAATACCAGTTTGGAACTCTAGTTATACTGTTAGTGTTAGGAACTGTTCGATTGCTAATTCTTCAATTGATAAACATTTTCGAGTATTGTAGGCAACGTCGAATCCAATAAGTAAAGCTGATGCTTGCTTCGTTTGGATATGACTATGTTATATGTGATGACGGTGCACAACCAAGACAGTTCTCTGAAATAAAATGTAGAATATTTATTTGATGCCGTACAACTTCTTGCGAACTCGTATTCGTAGTGTGAGATTATTACTGAGAAATACGTGGCGTGAATCGGTAGTCTCTGATATTATAACTGGCAGTCTGGGAGATTTTTACGTAGTAAGTGACGAAGGTCAATAGTCCGAGTAAATGACTGATAAATGTGCGGCAGTGATCAAAAGTATGTAGAATTTTTTATTTATGATTTTTTTATGCGTTGTCAATAGTTGGAGGTTCTAACTGAAATTTCCGGCGATGATGAAAAGTTCGAAATTTCAACCGATTGATGTGTGGTCTGAGACTTCATCAGTCGGTTGGTTTAGGGTGGCCCAGTGGTTACAGTTCAGCGTACCAAGATTGGAGCCGAGAGGCGCGGGTTCGAACCCAGCTCTGTTCGCCAGTGTCTGGTCAGAATCGGCGAGGAGGCCGGGCTGTTAGGCACAGCAGAATTGTAGCAGTGAGTTGCGAGTTCGAGACCGCAAAATGCTGTGAAGGTTCTGCGATGTTAAGAATCGGCGACAGGCCTACGGCCTAATAAACGCTGAAACCGCTACCTATTATTATTATTATTTTATCAGAAATAAACTAGGAGAATCTATATCACGATACCATTAATATTCGAAGTGCATCAGGAATAATCAAAACAACGAACGAGCATGTCTTAGTAAATTATTGGAGGCTAAACATACCCAGTGAACCCTGCTGAAAGACTAATGGGCTAGTAGGTAAACTCTTTCTTCAAATGTCAACTTGGTAGGTGTGCTGAACGTTTCGTTTTAACACTTCGACCGAATAGCGATGCTTCATTGATTGCATTATCCTTACCTAGTTTGGCCCGGCAAAAGTGTTTATTGGTACTACGTCCGTTTTCAGCTTGTGCTGTGGGTAAGAACGTGATCGAGTTACTCTTTGTATAACATGACCCAGTCATTTTTTGAGTGTGACACAAATATGTGCCAAGTTGTACTTTATACGCTCCTCAATAATTAGTGCTGTCACACATTCTCACGTAACATACTGTTTTATTTAGAATATTTAAATGCCAGTAGGTCTATATAGATATTATCAATCCAGTCGCTCAGCAGCACTGAGGCTGCGGTTGCCGAGTAACATAGTCACTTTCGCTCGCGACCACGTAGCTGTCACGAGCCTTAATTTCCGCTGCTCATAAGTTCGGCGGTGCGAGACTTGGTTCTGGTTCATAGACACGGTAAGGGTTTAATGCATTTTTAATTCTGGACCTCGTAATGAGCGGTGGTTTTCATATTATCATCAGCCCAACCACTACTAAAGAGAAACTTTTACTATTGAAAGGTCATCCTTCACTTCGTACTTGGCAGGAATTGCTACGGAATAGGATCTTTGTCTTGACATTAGATTGACCATACTTTGAATCAGATTGCATTAATTTAAGGCTTTACTGCCTTCAAGAAACAAAGTTGCTTCTAAAAAAAAAAGTTTTTCATGTAAAATTTGGGAATTGTAATAAGGATTACGCTAAGTCTATCAAAATTAGGTAAGGAAATGTGTTTGGCATCAACACTTTAATCAAATAGTCTTTTAGTTCACGATTTTCTTTGCTTCTTGGTGAGTTTAGTGTCATTTTGGACTAAGAAAGCGAGCGAGCTACGGCGTGCTCAAGGCGAAAAGGACCTCATGCCAACCGTGCAGCAACCGCTCTCTGCTCAAGGCTATTATGCACAAGTTCCGCGCATTGGTAATACAGTTCCTACCTGTATTACTGAACGTGTGGAGCAGTACAGAGAACATATGGTTGAAGAGTGCATGCTACATTATTGCTACAAGCTGCCGTGCATGTTTTTGTTATCGTTTGAAGAATTGATTAGCTCATTGAGCTGCATGCAAGTGACATACGCACTTGACTTAAAAAAGTCGTTGTGGTGGCCTCGTTACTGGGCGAGGGAGGAAGTCATTAATCATGACGTTAACGCTGTGGTGGAACGTGCAAGTGCCTGCGGCCGTATTATCAAAACTCCGTAAGTACGCAAAATTGACTTACCAATGGCGTAAGTGCTGACTTGATGACGTAACTCTAGCTGGCCTGATACTCGAGTTGGCGACTTTGCGCTTGCAGTAGACGTTGAAGCGTCGACCGTGAAAGAGAATAATCATGATTAAAATGAACAAAAATAAGAAACTTTAAATATAAGATAATAAGCTTGCTATCAGCAATATTTTAAAATTTAATTTTGGTTTTAGGTAGTTTTTCTCTTATCCTTGATTTTGCACTCATACTCAGAATGTGCATGGTATTTTGTAATTATAGTTGTTAAGGGTTGCATGGTAACTGTTCATAGCTAAAGTTTTTCAGCGCCTAGGGAATTCATCGTGTTTTTTTTCACTATAATATCTGGGGCAGAATTTCCTCACTAATAATGAAATATAGCAGTCAAAAGAAAAATGTCAGTGAATTTCCGACGTATATTCTTCTTATATTCTTCGACGTATATTCTTATGCAATGCTTTCTTTCATATTTCGTATCTAGTTCAACATCTATCGATTATTATATACAAGACAACATAATTGTCACCAACGTGTGAAAAATAGCATTTGAAAATCCACATTTTGTTAGGTAATATAAATAGAAAGTTTTAGCTATCACTTCTTTTTACTTTTTTTACTATTAATCTCAGAGTATTGCCTGGAACTTACATTTCGTTGCGGCGAAAACGAAGACGCACGTAGGGAAAGAGACCCATCGTTGTTGCTGTCGCTATTTGATGCTTGATGAGCGCTCCATAGCTCTTTAAACTGAATACAGTACAATTAAGTTGTGTAGTGACGCGTTGTACCATACAGTGCTTGTTTCTTGCTGAATGCTCAAAAACTCTTAAGACTGACTGTTGAACGAATAAGGTGTATGGTGACGCGTTATACTATACAGTAAATCGATCTAGATCGAGAGTTCTAAACCTATCTAACGCGTACCACTAGTTGCGCATTTAAGGGCCTTTACTGGTGGTACGCGAAAATTTTAGTCGACACGGACGGTTAGCGAAATATTTTTTTCTTAATAAAAATGTTTACTTCCAAACACAAGTTAATCTGACAACGATTTGTCACTGTTGCCACACGCCACTAACCTGCTCCATGAGCCCACAGTGACATTTGAGCAATAGACTGACTCAGGTCGCATATTATTACATCAATGGGTAAAAGTAGTGCTGCTAATGCTACTCGTGCAACATAGTGGTTAATATGTAGGACGCGGTGGGACACGGCGACTGTACGGAACCTCACATATAGGCACACAATTTCAAAAAGTTTTGTAAGCCGTTCAAGATGTACGTACGATATGCATGGAGAGAAATAGTATGGTGTGCTTATGATTGTTTTCAAGCGAAAAATCGAAAAGTTTTATATGAGCTGTGATAATTTTTGGTGAATTATAAAGTTTAATAGTAGATATAACGGAATTTTTATGCCAATTCGTCCAGACAAAGACAAAAAATGACAAACGCCACAAGCGAATCATAGAACACAAATTTGGTGTCAGAGCTCATTTCGAAATGGAGGCTAACTCATTTACCTATGTCCAGAATATGCGGTGACCATGCATCCAATAAACAGTGTTTATATTCAACTAAATGGTTTTTTCTATAATAACAACATGATAAACTTATCATTTTTTCTCATTTTTGAATGAGAAGGAATGAAAAAACCTTGATGTACACAAAAATGAAGTTAATCTTTAGGCCATATAGGAAGCCTCTAGTAGTCTAGCTGCAGTAGTAACCTCATACACCAAAACTGCAGCACAATATTTACTAGCTTAGGCATGCACTGACGTAAAGCGGACGCTGGTTTGTCCCTCTCACTTGTGCGTGGTGTTATCTGCTGCTCGCTGGAGTCGTGCTTGCTGCTCAGCTGAGGCGGCTGCTGTCAACGAAAGTTTGGGCTGGTAGTTACTCACTACATTTTGAAGCATTTTAAAAGGTAACATTTTTAAAATGTAAATATAATTAGTATCGTTGGTAGCAGACGTTGACTAATTATTTTAGCGCAGAATGATTTAGAATAAGTCTGTGCCCCAGTGCAACTCCCCATGAAACCCAATTAAGGGCAACTACTAATAATTCCCGAACATCCC